ACGCAGACGCTTCTTGGGCTGACGACCAGGCTACGCAGCGATCTTCACAGGGTTACACCTTCAGCCTTGGTTCCGGCTCTGTTTCGTGGCGGGCTACTCGCTCGTCTTCTGTTCTCGGCTCCAGTTGTGAGGCTGAGATCTACGCCGGGGCCATGGCTGCACAGGAGCTTCGCTGGCTCACCAACCTGCTGACTGACCTTGGAGAGCCGCCTCGTTCTCCTCCAGTGCTGTACGTAGACAACAAGGCCATGCTGGCCTTGTGTCGAGAGCAGCGCTTGGAGCACAGAACAAAACACATTGCTCTCCGCTACTTCCTTGCTCGTGAGCTACAGCAGCGTGGTCAGTTGCGGCTTGCGTACGTGGCCTCTGAGGCCAATACTGCTGATGTTTTCACCAAGGCACTTCCGCCTTGTGATCATCAGCGCTTCTGCACTCAGCTGGGTCTTGTCCCTGTCTTGCCTCACTTGCTCACCTCTTAACCTTGGTTGTACCATTACATATATATATACCTGGTCTTGCTTGTCTAGCCTTATATATACATGTACTCCTGCATGTGAACTGGCCTTGTGGCCTTGAACTTGTGCTCGTAATGTCTGGTGATGTGATCCACCCTGAGCTTGCTTTGCTTTGCTTTGCTTGACTGATCTTGCGACCCCTTGTTCTCCCCCACTTTGCCTATGGGGGTGTGTCAGAACATTATACCTTATGCATTTGTGTAGGCTGTAGTGGGGTAGCCCATAAGGGGTACAACCCAATTAGGGTTAATACTTGTACCCAACTCTGTCATAGTTCAACCATTCTCGTTTCTTCTCAGACTTAGCGTGCGTCTATCTCCGGTAAGCAACGGTTAAGTGTCAGTTGCAGCTACCGTGCAGTTGGGGTATTAATTAAGCTGTGGTTTCCTCCTCCGTCAATAAAAATCTTCACTGGTGCTCCTTGTATTTTCCCGTGGATCAGTACTAGGGAATCCGTCGCTGTACCCTCTTTCTTCATTCGAGCCCGATCGATAGCATGAATCGGTACTGTGACTCGGTGAGGGTCGGTGTTGTTGGGTGAGCAGGCAGTCTCGTCAGCTGTTGGCCCAACCTCTACTGACTGCTTGCGTTTCTCTGCCTCTGAGACTCCTTTCCCTGCTCTGCTCCGCGGCGCCTTAGCTCTTCTGGGCATTCGCTCTTGCGATGGCGTGGCCTGTTACAAGCAAAGCAGCACCCCTTAAACGGCGCTCCAGCTGCGTTCGTCGCAACAGCGTGTACAGTGGCGTGCTCGATCGGTCCGCGAGGACGATGTCCATAGTAGGACCCCGGTCTCGGACGGCGTAAAATGTCGATTTTCTCGGCGAGCGCGAGAATCTCGTTGAAGTTCGAGAGCCCGCGTAGCATGATTTCGTGCGAGATGTCCGGCTTCACTCCTCCGACGTAATGGTCTATCCGCTCCGCCTCGTGCATGTAGCCGACTTGCTCGCATAATGCGAGAAACCCACTCGTGTAGTCTTGAACCGACCCAAGCTGTCGCCAAGTACGCAGTTTCTGACGCGCCGTAATAGAAGCCGCGATCGGCTCGAAGCGCGCCCGAAGTCCTGCGCACCACGCATCCCACGTGCTGTATTGGGCGGTTTCACAGAACAAACTCCAGGTAACAGCTGGCCACGTGGGCCCTCCCTCTTGCGACGGTGGCTCGTAGGCGCGTGGCGACGTCACGATGACTCATTACGATGGCGGTGGCTCGGGGGCCCCTTAGCAGCGAAACGGCATACCGAATCTTCGTTGCGTCCGAATCGAAGTAGTTTGCGTAAAAAAAAACGTTCATCGTGAAGATCCACGATTGAACCGTCGGACCTCCACGTTGGCTTGGGTCAAAACAGGGTGTGCGTTGCGGCTTGAGTGGCATTGGCGCCATGAAGGTTTGTTCGCCGCTTGTCGCTGCAAATTCCACATGCCGACGGTTTTCGCAAGGCTCCCGCGGGCTTGGCGCGCCTCTGTTTACTCCCATGCCAGGCATTGGTTGGGCGGCGCTATCACTGGCTGCGCCCGAGCGCTATCCCATGCTGTCGTTTGGTGTTGGTGTACCGGACAAGATGACGATCGGCTCGTCTGATTGCGCAGGTGCATTTGTTGGTGCGTGTGGTGCTGCTGTAGTGTTCACCGTGGATTGCTGACGTGCGGCGTCACGCTCTGCTATGAGCGTCGCAATTTCGAGCGTCGAATCTTCGAGTTGGTGTACCAGGAGGTCGAGCTGCTCCTGCGTCAATGTGGCGAGCGTGAATTCGGCCATGGCGGGGGTGTCGGCGAGCTCAGCGAGAGCCTCTATCGTGGCCGAGCGTGCTTACGAGCGGGCACTACGAGCGGCAGTGCTGTATCGCTGAGAGACGTCCACCCCCCCAAAAATTTGAGATAGTGAGGAAGCGAAGGTGTGGGTGCGGCCCGAGAAGAGATCGTAGGCTCTGAATACCAAGTGTTACGAGTGCAATTGAATGAACGAACGAAGATTGCACTATCGAAGCAACAAGTCCAATGAGCGAAGGAATGGGCGAAAGATATAAAGCGAAGCTATAGTGGTAACGGTTAATGGACTGTGGGTGTCGCGCGACAGGCCTAGCACTGAGGTTGGGAAAATGTGTCGAAGCGGAGGCCCGGAGCGCGGGTTACCTGCCGAGCCGTGAGGTCGGGGTGCGACGTGCGAAAGTGGCGGGCGGATTGTCGATGCGAGAATTGCGAGTGGTAACGGTTGTTGACTGTGATGTACGCGTTGAGCAGGGATGCGAAGTAAGGAAAAAGAGGTTTTCCTTACACCATACATGAACTGCATCTCGATAATAATATTAATGATGCAATACAATATTATTAGTTATAATGCAGACCATAACTTCATTCTGGGTCAGAGACGGAACGGGGACAGCTCTCACTGTACCCAAGCCTAATTAGTCAACGCAGTCTGCACTCTTCGCAAAACACCATCACCACCGCCCCCAGTAGGGAATCGAATCGAGTCCCGGACAGACAGCGGTGCAACGAGAACTTCCCGTGCCTTGCTGGCGATTTACCGCGCAATATCTGGCGATTTGTCGCGCAATGTCTGGCAATTTGCCTGGTCGCCATGGCGAGGCGAATGCGGGAAGGAAGGTGAACTGTTCAACGCACTTCTTGTTACCATGTTTTGACATCGCGCAAAAAAGAAACCCTTACGAAGGGCCAATACGAAGAATCGCAAATTTCGTTTAATATTTGTTACCGGGGCTGCTGGTGTCGCTTATCAGCCTTGATTAGCAGGGAAACGCAGTCCCCTCACCTGCCCCTTGCGTCTTTCTCCTCTCTCATCCTCCCAACATGGACGGAAACCCATCTTTCTTTTCAGGCTGCATGGGTTGGCACAAAGCTTTTGCACGTATGTCGATGCGTTTCACGGCCTGCTTACTCTGTCTCTAAATATTCAGCAACCTATTCTTCGTCATATTGCTATTTTCACAAAAGCGATAGTAGTAGCAATAGTTTAGACGTTTCAAGCCAGGCGAAGAGAACGAATAGGCTGCAGTTGACCTGGAAATCCGAGCCGATCTTTGAGGCGCCTCAAAAATAGTCTCCGTCCGGCTATATGGAGCGCTCAATCCTCGTGCTCGGCGCGCTGTTCTCGCTGACGTGTCTCGCGTTTCCTCCAGTTGGTTGTGTACCGTTGAGCGCTTCCCAAGGTCTGTCGTCCTGTGCGCCGAATTCCGCTAATGCTAGCTTTTCGGGCTATAAATAGCTTGTAAAGGCGATCATATTAGCTAGATTTTTCCGCTTTCCCGCCATCTTTTTCTGCTTATCAGCACATCGTTTTGGGCTATTTGTTCGGAAAACTCGTGCCTCTTTGGTACCAGAAGTGTTGTCTCATTCAGAGTCGCGTCGGTTTCATGTGGTTCTCATTTTAAAACGCCTCAAAGTTGGTTCATTACCATACATGAAGTTCCATTCTGAGACGCCTCAAGGTCGGTCCATTGCCAGCGATGTCATTTTCATTCTGAGACGCCTCGGTTCATTACAAGACATGTCGTTTCAATCTGAGACGCCTCAAAGTCGGATCGTTGCCAGGCCTGTTGTTACATTCTGATAGGAGGGACGCAAGATCTTGCAGCACTCGCAAAATTACTTCATTGCACGTCACGTACCTAGCCTTCCTCCATCCATCCTTCCTTCCCCATTGTTTCCCTCCCCATGCTCCCTCGCCGGTCCACCTACCTCCGGGAGAATTCCTGCAGGGGTTGAATTTTCGGCTGAAGCAGGGATTTCACTGGTTGGGAACGTGGAGCGGAGTGCAGCACTCGCATAGCGCATTCACTGCATGCCCTCCTGACCCTCGCGTCCTCCCCCTATCCTTCCCTTGCCAATCCCTCCCTCCCTTTCTCCTCCTTCCTTCAGGTCAAATTCTTCGAGAGCTGAATACGTATTGGGGCAGGAATTTCAGTGGGTGGGAAGCAGGAGCGGAGTGCAGCACCGACGGAACTCTGGAACAGAAAGTGGGGCACCAGATTCGCTGCAATGCCGATGGCATGGTCACAAGCATGTGAGCCCATGTAGAAACTTCCTTCAGAACAGACGTCTGATAACAGGATCAGGGGCGGAGTGCAGCACGAACGGGACTTTGAACAACAATGTGATTCGCTGCAATGCCAATAACATCGTTACAAGCATGTGAGGTGCATTTCTCATCATCGCTGCATGTACAATGTATCCCTGCATGTCCTACCTATCACTGCGTTTCTCATCGTCCCTGCAATACCCGTCATCCCTGCATGTCCTACCGATCACAGAATGTCTCATCATCCGTGCATGTCTCATCATCCGTGCATGTCTCATCATCCGTGCATGTCTCATCATCCGTGCATGTCTCATCATCCGTGCATGTCTCATCATCCGTGCATGTCTCATCATCCGTGCATGTCTCATCATCCGTGCATGTCTCATCATCCGTGCATGTCTCATCATCCGTGCATGTCTCATCATCCGTGCATGTCTCATCATCCGTGCATGTCTCATCATCCGTGCATGTCTCATCATCCGTGCATGCCCATCATCCGTGCATGCCCCATCATCCGTGCATGCCCCATCATCCGTGCATGCCCCATCATCCGTGCATGCCCCATCATCCGTGCATGCCCCATCATCCGTGCATGCCCCATCATCCGTGCATGCCCCATCATCCGTGCATGCCCCATCATCCGTGCATGCCCCATCATCCGTGCATGCCCCATCATCCGTGCATGCCCCATCATCCGTGCATGCCCCATCATCCGTGCATGCCCCATCATCCGTGCATGCCCCATCATCCGTGCATGCCCCATCATCCGTGCATGCCCCATCATCCGTGCATGCCCCATCATCCGTGCATGCCCCATCATCCGTGCATGCCCCATCATCCGTGCATGCCCCATCATCCGTGCATGCCCCATCATCCGTGCATGCCCCATCATCCGTGCATGCCCCATCATCCGTGCATGCCCCATCATCCGTGCATGCCCCATCATCCGTGCATGCCCCATCATCCGTGCATGCCCCATCATCCGTGCATGCCCCATCATCCGTGCATGCCCCATCATCCGTGCATGCCCCATCATCCGTGCATGCCCCATCATCCGTGCATGCCCCATCATCCGTGCATGCCCCATCATCCCTGCATGCCCCATCATCCCTGTATGTCCCATCATCCCTGCGTTTCCCAACAGGGATCTATACTACATTCCCTTGAATGGTTTTCTCCCGCTTAACATCACAGATTTGATTGGCCTCACACATTTGTAAGTTTAAGAATAGTAATCATCCCGACCCTTATAAAACAAGCGAAACGCACTAGACTAGCCCCTTTTTGTGGAAGTATGCATTGGTGCTAATGCTCGCTCTTAATGTTTATGCACCTGTTACCATCTTCTTACTTTCCTTCCGCTCCATTTCCATTGTGAAATACAACTTCAGAAGGCTTTCAGGACTTCACTTGAAGGGGTCATTCCGTGCAGAGATCAGCAGCCTTTCTAACCTGTCTTATCTGTAAGCTTTTCACGGCGATGCACTTTAGAAACGAATTTGCAAGCTTCCAAACTTGTCCTACCTGTGAAATTTTCGAGGCATGTTGCCTAGGTTGTTGTGCTTTGGCTGTGCATTTCCTGTCCCCCTTCCATAACTTTCCGTCCCTTTGATCCGCTTCTTCTCCCCCTTCTATATCTCCCACAACCACGCCTTTCAGGGACCTCTCAAAAAATTATTTTCTGGGGCCCATTCTTGACTCTATTGGCAACATGGACAGCCTTACCTATCTGTCAGTATTGTTGCACTTAACTAAACTGGGTACATATTTTAATTAATGTTGCCACTATGGACAACCTAATCTAACCTAGGACCGGCAGTAAATGCCATTTGTAGTTTAATAAAACTCATAGAACGCTTATAACCAGTTTTAATATACTTCAGAAATGGATTTCACCCTGTGCTGTGCAGGAATTTAGGATTCAACCACCTACTTGATATCATTCCCAATGGCATTGGCAGCATGAATAGCCTCGTACATCTGTGAGTCGATATTGGCTTGCTGCTTAACTCGTCTTTATGAACATTTCTATTATCTGGTATTAATGATTTTTTCGTAACACTGATGGGCCGAGTGTAACAATGACGGTGGAATTGACAAGTCAATTACTCTCCTTCTCCTCAGGGATTTACGGGCGAATACATTGCGTGGGAGCATTCCGCAGGCTATGTACAGCCCTGGCATGACCAAGCTAACACATCTGTACGTACTATGCTACCATGTATTACCATGCATGCATGAACTTTAAGACGCCTCAAAACACGGCCACCCTCAGCACGTGGACCGTTTTATACTATGTATTACCATAAGATCAATGCGTGGTTTCAAGAGAGGGGCTGCGATTTGCATCCATGATTATTATGTGCTCATGCACAACCCTTTGGTATAGTCTGTGCACTTTTACATGGTATCCTCCCTACTTCTCGTGTACAACCTAGGTCAATTCATGTGCGGTTGCAAAAACTGTACATCATATTTTAGTACACTTACTCCTTTCCTATTTGATTCTTGTTCTTTCTCGACACTTGCTGATTCCCATTACTTTCATTCGATCATCAATGAAGGGACCTTAGCTACAACTTCATCGATAAGGAAATTGTGGGAACAGTGGATAATTTACGCAACTTGAGATACTTGTAAGGTCCTGCACTGCTTCTTATTGTTATTATCATCGCTTGTATTATATGTGTTTCTGTATTGAAATTGTAATCATTACTATGACATCACAGCAGCTTGCCAAGGTAGGGTAGCACAATCCCCTTCCGTGATTGTTTGTTTCTGTTTTGGAATTGCATATTGCTTATGTTGTGATTATTGTTGTGGCGGCAGAGACTTTCAGAGCACCAATTTGACAGGACCCCTTCCTCGAACGCTAGGAACTTTTTCGAGCCTTACATACTTGTAAGCATTTTTTTAAAAGCCTAAAAGTTGTTACCGGTACGTGCTCTTGGATTGCATTCAAGTTTTGTTTCATGCTCCTGTATATCTTCCCTAGCACAAGAAGAATCGTTACTTCTGCACAAGACCGATTGGAATTTGTGAAAAGTATTGCATGCAGGGAAGTTTTCAACTGTGTTGTGCAAACATCATTTGCATATGCAGGAACGTATCACGGACTGGTTTAACATGCCCAGCTGACTACAGTGACTGCGGATCCACACAGATCATCAAATCAAATGCATTCTGCCAGCTGTGCTCTTCCTTCTGCAACACTTGCGGTAAGACAAAGATAGGGAATGCAAAACAAACAACTAACCAGGCTAACCACCAGATTAGATGCATGAGTAACCATTCCATTTGGGAAAACTGCTTGATGTGGTATCTTCAACTACTTGCATCTAATGTGCATTATTTTGAATTACTGGCAATCTTCGCGTCCATTGTTTTTAAAATTTTATTTCATACAGTGTGATGCTTCCATCTTTTCCCCTTTCTTGACATCTGCAGCACCTACAACAAGTGGTGGTGGGGGGTTATTGTGGTACGTGGTACTAGTACTTATTGTGGTTGGGGCGTTATTGTTCATTGTGCTATTCGCCTGGCGTTGGTACAAAGCAGGGGCTGCAAAAAGAGCTGCCAAGGATGCGCCAGAGAGCGACGCTCCTCCAGAAGTGACTTCTCAAGGCAAGCCTTTCTTTCCCACACCTTTCCGTCCCAGAAAGTCCAAGGACTGTAGTTGAACGCATTGGAATGGTGCAACTTTTACAATTTCTCTTTCTCTTTGTATTTCCTGTTTTCTTCCTTCAGTTCTCTTTATTTGTGCGTCATGTGTGGTTCCTGATTCTTTGCTTCCAGTATGTTTCTACAACCGTCCCTAATTTCAACCAAACCTTTCTCTGACCACCACCCACCGCACTCAACCTGCAGGCAAAGAGGATGACGACCCAGAATCCAAAGAAGCAGCATCAGATGCAACAGCTTTGGCACCAGCAGCTGTAAGGAGGGACAATGATGCCTTTGCAGTGGAGATAAACACTAACGCAAAAGGAGAACAAGAAGAAGCAAAAGCAGCAGCAGTCGCAGCAGCGGCGGCAGCGTTGGCGGCGGCGGTAGCAGCAGCAGCAGCAGCTGGGGAGCGGCAGGATGATGAGTTTATAGCAGACATGCAAGCAGCGCGGTTTCAAGTATGCAAAGAGTACTCCCTAGCAGAGGTGACAGCAGCAACAGCGAACTGGGCTGAGGGGAACAGGCTCGGCAGCGGCAGCTTTGGGGATGTGTTCAAGGGAGTGTCTCCTCATAGCTGCGACCAGATATGGGCTGTCAAACGGGCTCGCATTCTCACCAACGACTTTCAGACCGAGGTATCAAATGGCACTTGTCGTTGGTAGATCATTCTGCTTCTTCACTTCTTGCACTTTGTCGTTGGGAAATCATGCTACTTCTTATTCCACACTTGCCACCTGTTATTGCACTTTCATCACACCATGAATGTGAGTCACCCCTTGATCTTTCACATCCTTTCACATCCTACAGGTGAAGGAGATGGCCAGCAAGCAACATCCCCACCTCGTGCGGCTCTTAGGCTACTGCATTGACTTCAACCCCACCACACGGCACATGGAGCAAATCCTCATCTACGAGTTCATGCAAAACCGCGACCTTGAGAGCTGGATCGGACCGACTTTTGAGGTGCCTCAAAAGTCAACCCAGCCACACGTCACATGGAGCAAACTCTGATCGTGCACATCCTTCCACATGCTGCTGTTTGTGCCCCTTGCAGGTGAAAGAAATGGCCAGCAAGCATCATCCCCATCTCGTGCGTCTCTTGGGTTACTGCATCGACTTCAACCCATCCACAAGGCATATGGAGCAAATCCTCATCTACGAGTTCATGCCAAACTACGACCTTGAGAGCTGGATCGGACCGGGCGCGTCCATCCCGCTTTCGCTTCCCCAACGGTTGGACGTTCTGATTGGGGTCGCGAAGGGGTTGCAGTATCTACATGACTTTGGGATCGTGCACCGGGACATCAAGCCCGCCAACATTCTCCTTGGCGCGAAAATGGAGGTATGTCCAAACCAACTTAAGATGTACAACATGGTTTCCTCTTTCTTGTTCTGTCGCTTGTCATCTCATCGTTGCTCTGAAGTTGTTTCGTCGTCCTGTCATCAATCCGTTTTTCACTGTCGTTTACCCACCCTCTCATTGTGCCATCGTATGCCACTCTGTTTGTGAGCAGGCCAAGATTGCAGATTTCGGCCTTGTGAAGCTAAGCGGCGGCACGACCATGGGGACATCCGTGGCTGCCACTAGAGTCATGGGAACACCGGGCTATGTGGACCCTGCGTATTACAAGTCCCACAAGGCCACTCCAACAGCAGATGTGCACAGGTACAGAATGGTGCCAACCGGTATCAGGTAAGTAAGTACGGTAGAGATAGGATCACTGGGCTAAGTGAACCCTGCATACGGCAAGTCTCACAAAGCTTCTCCATCGGCGGATGTTCATGGGTGAGAGGGCAAGGAAATCAGGGAGCACATGTAGATGCTAGCGTGGAAGTGTGGAAAAAGTATGCACTATTTCTCAAGCAGAAAGAATGCTCTTACATGCCACACCAATGCTTTCTTACACCTTGTGCACCTATGCTTGTTTGGCGATGGCAGCTTTGGAGTGGTGATGCTTGGGGTGATCACGGCCCGCAAGGCAGTGCATGTGACAGAGGACACGCTCTTCAACCTCAAGCAATGGGTGAGGCACAAATGATGGGTGAGGAGTGATCACGGCCCACAAGGCAGTGCATGTGACAGAGGACACCCTTTTCAACCTCAAGCAATGGGTGAGGCACGAAGGATGGGCGGGGAGTGATGGGGGGGCATGAGTGATGGGTGAGGCATGCGCGGAGGGAGGGGCATGATTTGAGGTGAGGCATGAAGAAAGGCTGGGACAGTAGCAATGGCGTGGCACAACAAAGCTGCCGCTGCCATGAAACCAACAGCTCAACCGTACCATCCCTATACATCCTGCTATTGCCATTGTCTATCTGTTGCTCGTGCCCGTCAGGTGCTTCCATTTTCCGTCACATCACATGCACCCCTCAATATTATTACAGCCAGCTACGCCGCCCATTGTTGAATGTTCCTCTCTGTGCAAAGAATGCAGGTGGCTCCTCTGGTGGCATCAAACGATGTAGCGTCCTTCAAGGATCCGTATCTACACGCACCAGACGATTTGATTCTCTGCATGGCTCGCCTTGATCTCCCCTGCACTACCATGCCGACCCAATGCTTCTCATTGCATGAACAATGCAGGTTGCTCCTCTCGTGGCATCAAGCAACGTGATGGCCTTCAAGGACCCCTATCTAACCGCACCCGATGCTCTGATACTGCGTATGGCTCGGCTCGCCCTCTCCTGCACTGCCATGCCCACGGCATCTCGCCCCACCATGAGCCAAGTGCTCGTGGAACTGGTGAAAATAAGGAGTGAGGTTGTGGAGGAGAAGGGGAGCAGGGCTGCGTCGCGCATTGACAGGGAGATTGACAGCTCTGCTGAGGCTGATTTTGATGCCCAGATGGCTCGTTTGGAGCTTGTTGGTAGCCAGAGTGGTCCATCCACTGACATGGTCTGATGCTGCGCATGGCTCGTCTTGCTCTCTCCTATACCCCCTCTCCCGCACTGCCATGCCCACGGCACGGCATCTCACCCCACCATGAGCCAAGTGCTGGTGGAGCTGGTTAGGATGAGGAGCTAGGTTGTGGAGAAGGGGAGTAGGGCCGCGTCATGGATTGACAGGGAGATTGATAGTTCTGCTAAGGCTGATTTTGATGCCCAGAATAACTCATCCAGTGACATGATATGAAATTTTTTGAAAGTGTGTAACACTTTCTAAAAATGTGTATTTTGAAAGCGAAGCTGCTTGTAATGCAGCTATGGCAACGGCGAAGTGCTAGACGCTCTTCGCCAACTATATAGCAAGGGGTGGAGGCCATCTGGCCTCCACCCACGTCTTCGTTTGAAATTTCAAATGTCTTATTTCCCACCCACCCACCCTAGCAAAAATTGCATGTTGTCATGTGTAATGTAGGTACCATATATATCCCGGGCAAGAATGATGTAATGCCCATTTGAAACGAAGCTTGTTGCCATTGCAAACACAAGAAAGCAAGCTTTCTAAATATGGGAGTTCTGTGCATAGTGCGGTTTGAATCCCTCAAGGAGTTGGTGTGATACTTAGGGTTCATTGTATAGGAGTCATTGTCAACAGTATGCGTAACCCATGTGGACCCAAGCATGTGCTCTTCAACCAAGCTTGACTACTGGTAGGCTAGGGAGCTGCAAAATTGTGAAAGTTCCAGGTTCCACCTTCAATGTTTATTGACAGATGACAACTACTGGTTTAATTCCACAATCAGCCATCACGCTGTGACGCTGGACATCAAGAGCCAATATCTGACTCTTGATATGAAGTCTTGCCACATCCCTTTTTTACGATTTGGCCCAGATTGATTATCCTTGTGACGTTGGCCTCATCGCGTATGAGTTGCCACCTTGCCAACTAATCTCCAAGGTCAAATAGCTATTTCTTGTCGCATGCGGGAATGGTAGAGAACGATACGATGATGGGCGAGCAAAACGTTACCATCATCACCCGGAAATAAGACAGTATTGAATAGTAGACAGGGGTTGTCTATTATACGGGTGTCTCTTATAAACAGGCTAGCTTCATTATAAGACACCTATTTGTGTGTACAGGTTAAGAAAGTGTAGGAGTTAGGGGCAAATGTATGACGAGGGGGTATCTACTAAACGGTTCTTTGTCCATTTATAAGATTTATAAGATACCCTAAACCGTCCCAAATACAAGACAACCCAAGCATTTTTGCCCGTGTACGAGATAAGACATATATGTCTTATATCCGGGCGATGACGGTACTAAAGGACGTAGGAATGCAGGAGACGGGAATGAAAGGTGCAAATGAAGGGTGCTGAGAGATGAGAAAGGACGGGGAGCACATTAGCGAGCAACAGACAGGATTCACCGTCAGTGCAATCGTGGAACCAGGTATCTGTTCATTCACTCAGTTGTGACTCCAGATAAGAACCTGAGAAAACGGCGCTGGCAGTTCACAATCGTGAAAATCCAAAATCGATTGATGAAAGTAAATTCAACAACACAAGACAACAAAGCACTTGCAAAATCTGAGATACATGCCGTCCAGAACCCGCTTATCGGCCACGGGCGAGAGCGCGCTCGGAAATGTCAACCTCCTCCACTATTCTGTCGAGCCGCTTCTTCGGGATGGGGTAGGTAGGTCCGAAGCTGATGTAGTGACCGGAAATGGCGTTGAGGACGGAATACATGTTGCTGAAGGACGGCCGGCCGGCCACGCTCTTCTCGCGGCGATACCTCGCCACCCACGTGTTGGACAGCTCTCGGAGTTCACTCACGGCTTCGCTCCTAGCGGGATCGTCTCTAGCGAGGCCCAGAGTGTACCTCACTCTTTCGATGACGTTTGTCGTCGCCTTCACATAGTCCTCCTCGAAGTCAGCCAAAGCAAGACCGGGAGCGGAAAGCACAGCGGCCAGGGATGCAACTCCGGCGAGAGAGATAGTCCTGCGGGAAACAGCAGGCTCCAGGGAAGCCTGAACCGGTGAGACCCGCTTCACGGGAATGCTGACAACCACAGAAGCATCGGCCAGCTTCTCGGTCTTAGGAAGGAACGAGGTCTTGAGGATAGCGCTAGAGGTCGAAGCAACAGCGCAGAGAGCCATCTTGATCAAGTTAGATGACCAGGAGCGGGCAGTTCGGTATCAGCTCTCCGTGGAAAACAAGAAATCAGAAACAAGAACTGCATAATGAATGAAACGGAAGTACTGAATTCACATTTCAGACCAACATCTGTGGAGCCTGGTGGTCTGGAAAGCATCAGGATTCAGCAGCAACCATTCGCTGGCTTGGCGGAGAACTGCCTGGAGCAATTCCCGAGGCAGGGAAGCATCACCAGAAAGCGGGTGTTGATTCATCACTGGAATGGCTGGCGCCAGCGTGTCATCGACCACGCGTCCTGCGTGGAATGGATATGTGCTGATTCGGAAAATTTGATGCCAAGCTGGATGCCGTGTGGAGATGTCCACGTCCGCAGTCACCATCGATCTGCACGAGCGCCACGTCGTCGCGAAATGGTTCTGTGCTCTTGAAACTGCCACCGAACCATCTGTGACACCATCAGGCTCGAAATGTCGAAGCTCTTCATCGAAGCTGGTGGAGGCATGGAAATACAGTGAAAGGGGTTTGTTTAGAGCGTGTACGTGGTACTCATCTTAGTAGCAAATTGTAGCCTGATTCAATCATAGAAAGCATACCATATGAATATACTCAAAACACAATCAATGTACGTATGTATATTAATATCATTTAATCTCTCCACAGTCAGCAATCACCACTGGTAAGCGGGGGCGCTCATCCCCTGAACCAGAAGGCTTTGCGAGCTTGTTTATCCGCTCTACTACTTCCCAACCAGACACCTGGAACAAAGCAAAACACAAAACACAATGCTTAGCATCCGACACTCTTCATATACGTGTACTGTACGGTAGCAGGAGAAACAGCACTGTACTGAGCCTTACCACTTGGCCAAAAATAGGGTAGTGCCCGTCTAAATGGGGTGCTGGAGCCACAACGATAGAGAAATGTGTGGTGGTGGTATCTGGACCAACGTTGGCTGCTGATAGCAACCCCTTCTGCAGTTGGAGGGGAGGAGATGAGAGACAGGAGAAACAAATGGGGAAGGAAATGTGGAGGGAGGGACCAGGCATCAGGGTTGAGACTGAAGCACTGGGGAAACCAGTAAAGGTGAGATAAATGCAGAGTAATAAACAGGTGTTAAGTGATGCGAAAACAGACACTCGTGTGCTGAAACAGCAGGAACAAGGTACTGTACAAATGACTACCACAAGCCCCCACCCACCTTCTTGTGCTACAACAGCAGAGCTAATGGGTCATCCTTGAAAATCCCACCAGGGAACAAGCTACCCAATAGTACAAGCCCCCACCCACCTTGTTGTGCTTCAGCAGCAGGGCTAGCAAGTCGTCCTTGAAGCTTCCCCCTTAGATGCTCTCCGTGTTGATCCCAGTCTGGCAGATAAACCGGTCAATCACTCTATAGAACTCCGCTCCCTCATAATGCAGCGGCAACCCCGCACCCTCCCTGCCTTGCCAGCCCCCCCCATCCCCGCCTCACTCCCAGGTAACGCAGCGGCATGACGCAATCCCACCCACCTTGTTGTGCTTCAGCAGCAGGGCTAGCGGGTCGTCCTTGAAGCTCCCCCCATAGATGCTCTCCGTGTTGATCCCAGTCTGACAGATAAACCGGTCAATCACTCTATAGAACTCTGCTCCCTTGTAATGCAGCGGCATCCCCGCCCCCTCCCTGCCCGGCTCGTTCGGCACCCGCCCTTTCTCCCCCGTGCACAGCGCCCGGAAATTTTCAGCTGCCCGGGGCGCCTGCTTGGTGAAGAGCTCGAAGATTATTCTACCCGCGGGCCGCCCGTCGATGTTTATGTCGAAAAAGACTTTGGGTTTTGGGTAATCCATGGGGTCGGTGGTTAGGAGGCCGGGCGGGCGCGGGCGGATGGCGATGCCTGCTAGCTCGTCCCCCACCCCATCGTCCATTCCGTACTGCATGGTCCTCCTGATATGGTAGGGAGAGGGGCAACAGGAAAGGACAGCACAGAGCAAGTTAGGCTTGGGGTAATCCATGGGGTGGGTGGTTAGGAGGCCGGGGGGGTGGGGGCGGATGGCGATGCCTGCTAGCTCGTCCCCCACCCCATCGTCCATGCCATACTGTGTGGTCCTCCTGTGTTGAACGGAGCAGGGATGGAGGTGGGGAAGGAGAGGAGAGGGAAGGGCGCTGGTTGAATGTCAATGTGGAAGAAAGAAACCAACTGGGCTTTGGGGGTTGAGTTAAAAGACTTTAGGCTTGGTTAGGGCTTGGGGTTATTCATGGCGTCTGAGGTGAGGAGGCCGGGCGGGCAGGGGCGGATGGCGATGCCTGCTGCTAGCTCATCCCCCACCCCATCGTCCATGCCATACTGTGTTGTCCTCCTGTGATGGAAGGAGCAGGGGGATGGTAGTGGTGCAGGAGAGGAGAGGGAAAGGCGAGACAAGCCTGGTTTCAGAAGAAACAGGAGCTCCGATCGGCCTAATGGCAATGTGGAAGAGAACAAGTGGGCTAGGGGGGGATGAGCTAGAAGGCTGTGGGCTTAGGGTTTAGGGTAATCCATGGGGTCGGTGGTGAGGATGCCGGGCGGCCGGGGACGGATGGCGATGCCTGCTAGCTCATCCCCCACCCCATCGTCCATGCCATACTGTGTGGTCCTCCTGGTGTGAGTAGGAAGTGAGGGAAAGGGGAAGGGGGAAGATGGGTTGCAGCAAGAGAGTGGTGATGCAGGGTTAGTGCAGGCAAGGCTGATGGCGATGCCTGGTAGCTCGTACCCCCCACCCCATCGCCCATGCTGTAGGGAGTGGCCATGCTGTAAACGGGGATGGTTCTCCTGGTGTAAGGAGTGAGGGATGGATGGGGGATGGTGGATGGTGGGTGGGGGAAGATGAGTTGCAGCAAGATAGTCGGCTTTTGAGTCGACTCAAAATGCAGCAAGAGAGTGGGAATACCACGGGACTACCTGGGTTTACACCATCAGCAATACAAACAGTTCATGTAGTACCCTGTGGTTGGCATTGGCAATCATGGCAACAGCGAGATAGCCCAGCACAGCACAGCACAGCAACCATCCCACCGACAGCAGACCCAGTCAAAACCGAGAGGGTTACCTTGGGGTACCTGGGGTTACACTAGCGTTACCAAGATGAGGGGAGCACGAATACCTGTGGTTGGCGATGATGGCGACGGCGAGATAGCCCAGCACCCATCCCATGATGACGGAGAGCAGGCCCAGGCGAAACCGAGGTATACCTGGAATCACCCGGGATTAGCTGGGCACCAGTGATACCAACATTTTATGGAATACCTGTGGTTGGCGATGATGGCGACGGCGAGATAGCCCAGCACCCATCCCACGATGACCGAGAGCAGGCCCAGACGCACCCTGCTCGAGCTAACACGCTTCAACACCTGGCGGGGGTAGGTGGAGAAGAAAGAAGAGGAGTGGGGGGAGGGGGGAGAGCAAGGAGAGAAGGGCGAGAGTGCAGCAATGTGGTTTGACTGAGAGCCCAGGCACACCCTGCTCGACCCTCCGCACTCCTGAGGAAAGAGAGGGGAGGGGGAGGAGCGGGTTGGCGGGAAAATTGAAGAGAGTGAAATGGTCGGCGGCAGGAGGGAAGGGGGCACTGCGTGCAATTCACGTGGAATCCGGGCCGCGGAGAAGATAAGAACCTGGCGTTTAGTGATTCGGCGGTTCGGTGTTGTGGTACCTGAAACATTGGGAATGCCGGGTTCGCGACGTCTGCGCGACTCAAACGACCGGTGTGCGACGTCGCCTCGAGGGCTATACGATATGATGGTCAACCAAACACGCCAATGTCTTAGTATGTCTGAAAAGCCAGACACGCCACGATTACGAGCCCGAGCCGACAGGAGCGTCAGAACGGTTTAAGGAAACATATAATGTGATGTGCTTCTTCTATAAAGAAAGATGGCTGTGATAAAAAACAGGGTACTGTATCAAGAATTCAGCCGCGTATTGCGGGCTACTGAACTGATAAGCTGAGTCCACCCTCCACAAAACCTCCGTAATGGTTCAGGAAATTATTTGCGTATTAACGTTCTCGCTTAAAATCCTAGGAAAACTTATTTTATATGCATCCCGCGTATGCTTTGCGTTAGATTTGCAACTGCCGCATTTTAGAGCGCAGTCCTCAACATCACGTGGTGCGACTCACAGATCGACGTTTCAGGTTTCGAGCCACAGTTTCTGCAATATTGTGGGATTTGGAACTCGACGAAACGTATTCGCGCTGCTGAACGATTTCTGTAACTGATCAAAGACGAACCCGAGGGAATCCGTGGCCGTTCGGGAAGCGAAACCGAGATCCGAAGCTACAGTTTCCTTTTTAACCAAGTCCTTCCGTTTCGCTAACACCCACATCTGTCATCAGGGTTCAGGTTTAAATAATTAGGGTTTCCTAGACAGGATTTCCTGGTTATGGTTTTCCGAGTTTTTGTTTCAATCACTCTAGTTACTGATAATGGCACCATCGGGTCGAGTGCGATTCGTCTGTCGCGGGCGAAGCGTGCGAATCGCACGTGATCGCTCGTGGGACGATTCCGATCCGTCGCGCACCGCTGCGGACGCGGGTGAAACTGCGGAGCGGAGAACTGCGGCGATATTTCCCGCGCCGGCGGAAGCGGGAAAGTCAGCGGGAGCGGGAGGGCTAGCAGCGGCGCGGGAGCAGGAAATGCTTCTGAAATCGAGGGAGGATCAATGGCTGAACGTGCTTCCGCATGAGGTGGGGAGGAGAGAGGGGAAAGGGTGGAGGGGAGAGAGGGTAGTAGAGGGAAAAGAGGGGGCGGAAGGGGCGGAAGGGGCGGAAGGGGCGGAAGGGTGTGTGGTTGGGTTGGAGGGGATTCAGGAGAGAATCTGATAATTGTCGAAATGCTGCCAACGCGTTCTCCCCCTCCCCCTGCACGTAAGAAGGGCGGATTGATAGCTGAACGTGCTGCCCTGCTCCCCCTCCCCTTTTCGTGCTCCCTTCTCCCCTCCGCGTGTGGCTTCTGCTTCCTTATTGGCCCAGCGCAGCAAGTGCGGTGCTATTCCTCCTTTCTCCTCTCTCTCCCTGTCTTCCCCACCCTGTCTCCCCCATCCTGTCTCCCCCACCCTGTCTCCCCCATCCTGTCTCCCCCACCCTGTCTCCCCCACCCTGTCTCCCCCACCCTGTCTCCCCCACCCTGTGCAAGACGGTGGTATACCTCCAACGTTAATGACGATTGACATGCCTCCTGGTTGATTGCTCTCTCCCCTCTCCCCACTTTCTCTACCGCCCCATCTCCCCAGCGCAGCAAGTGCGGTGGTATACCTCCAACGTCAACGGCGCTGTGCCGACCTCTCTGCTGCACCGCCTAGTCAGCGCTGACGTGGACAGCAAGCTTACCAGGCTGGCAGGTGGAGACGCCACGCTGGGAAACCGGTTGCTCGCCCTTCCCCTGGTATAACTGTCACCGAATATGTACGTTTGTGCATATAAGGTGCCAGTATGATTGTGGTGTAGAAAGGGTGTAGTAATGTGTTGTATTTGTTGTATGCAGGCTCAAGGATGGGTAGGTGGGAGGCTGGGAAATTGACGCGAAGTTGGTAGGAGAACACCAGGGGGTGAAATCCTCGCGACCAATGGGAACAAACCCAACCCAGGCTCAAGCCGCACATTGAGAAATGCACGGCTCGAGCCAGGGACAGGTAAGTTCACTCTCACACACACACACAATGCTTTCTGTTTGTTATCCTTTCGTATAGTGGACAGTTGTTACCTCAGATTTGCCTACAGGTGGCACACCACTCAGAGAGGACCTTTGAGGTGAGAGTTACCACTCCTTCATAACAAACAGAAAGGTGCGCGTGCAAGCATGGATGTGCACGAGTTGCGTTATGGCAGGAAGTACGATCGTCGTGAGGGTGATCGCTCGCGGCGGGAGCGCTCACGAGAGCGCGGGCGTTCGCTAGAGAGGTCGCCGCGGAGGCCTGACCGCTCGCCGCGGAGGCCTGAGCGCTCGCCGCGGAGGCCGGCTTTTCGCGCCGATCTGGTCCCTCTCGCGCCAGATCGCCGTGAAGAAGGTGCAGAGCGCGAAGGAAGAGGCGGATCTGAGTCCGTCAGGATGGGAAGTGACCCGTGGCGGACGGATACGCACCACGGGGCTGGTGGCGAATGCGGACATCGCCACGACACGGGAGCGTATCGCTCGCCGGACGAAGGTTACCGCCGTCGCGAAGATCGCAGTCGCGGGCGTGGCCTGGAGGAGCTATTCTCTGGTCGGCAAGGAGATCTCGATGTGGATGGGGAGGGCGAGGTCGATATGGCGGAGAAGCCGCAGGAAATGGATCTCGAGAGTGAAGCGAAGGGCGATGACGAGGCCCATGAGGAAGGCGCGGGCGAGCAGCGCGATATGCACGCCGAAGTCAAGGAAGCCAGTCCGATGCGGGCGAGCGAGGAGGCTGCGCCAGGCGCGGCAGAAATAGGCGGGAAGGATGGTGCGCGGAACCAGACGCGTGGTGAAGAAGGCAACGACGACAGGAGGCGTAGCCGTGGATCGCGCTCGCCGACCCCCCATCAGCACCACGACCAGAATCATGGTGGCGAGAGGCATGCGTCAGATCCGCGGCTGCAGCAAGACAAGAGGCGCGACGGCGGGCATCGCTCGCCAGATCCGCGGCTGCAGCGTGACGAGAGGCGCGGCGGCGACCATCGCTCGCCAGATCCGCGGCGGCAGCGTGACGAGAGGCGTGGCGGCGACCATCGCTCGCCAGATCCGCGGCTGCAGCGTGACGAGAGGCGCGGCGGCGACCATCGCTCGCCAGATCCGCGGCTGCGGCGTGACGAGAGGCGTGGCGGCGGCTACCGCTCGCCAGATCCGCGGCGGCAGCGCGAGGACAGACGTGACGGCGGCAACCGCTCGCCAGATTCGCGGCAGCAGCGTGAGGACAGGCGCGACGGCGGCTACCGCTCGACTGATGTGCGGCAGTGGCACGACGAAATGCGCGGAAGTGGTCACCACTTGCCAGATCCACGGCAGCGTCGTGGGGAGGAGCGCGGAGACAGCACGCGTTCACCAGATCCGCGGAGGTATCACGGCGGGAGGAGCGAGAGGGGCTCACGCTCACCAGATCTGCAGCGCTATCATGATGGGAGGAGCAGAGATGTCCAGCGCTCGCCTGACGCGCAACGGCATCCTGGAGGAGGGTGGAGAGGCGAGGCGCGCTCGCCGGATTGGCGGCAGCCGCTTGAGGAGAGTCACGGGGGCAGACATCGCTCGCCACCGCGGCAGCGGAGCAGGGATATAAGGCAAAGCGGTGGGGCACGTTCGCCAGAGCGTTATCGGCAACATGACGAGAGGCGTGCCGGCGAAGGAGGACAAGATCTGCGCAGCAGCAGAGTGGGAGGCAGCGGGCTAATGGACAGCCTGGAGCGAGCCAGAGAGGCGAGGGAGGGAATACGGCGGGCGGGAGAGAGGGGAACGGCAGGCAGGACAGCAGAGAGATATAGTGAGGCGTGGGGAGAAGGAAAGGGAAGTACAGCCATGGTCACAAGGGTGGAAGTACCAGCACGCTTCTCTGGGGACCAGCGATTGGGGCCCACACTGAAGAATTATCTCATGCAAGTGGGCAACGTGCGGTACAGATGCGAGAGGGGCGGCATGGATGCAGTGGACTTCTTTCTGAGCCTGCCAAACACACTGGAGGGGGAGGCAGAAACGTTATACAGGATGAAGATGAATGAGCTACTGGAGAGGGCAGGAAGGTATGGGGAGGACCCAACCGAAGAATTTCTGAGGCGGCTGAAGCGGCAGTTCCCAGGCCACACTGCAGAGAAGATCAGAGAGTTTCAAGACTTTAGGAAGGGGCGGGGAGAGTCACTACTCACCTACTACAATCGGCTGGTCAACATAGCGGAGGACGTGAGTTGTGCGGACATGGGCCTGCTTGTGAGCAAGTTCCTGGACGGCCTGGAGGGTACCTTGGGAAGCGGGCTGAGGCTGAAAGTATATGAGATGGGGGCTGAAGTGACACTTGATGAAGTGTTTGAGCTAGCTGAGAAGATGGAGATGGCCCAGAGGAAGCTTGAAGCCTACCGGCAACGACCAGCGGAGCGTGGCAGAGGACCTACATGGGCAGCAGCCATGATACCAGAGGAAAAGGAAAGGGCAGGGGGAAGAGGGGATAGCAGGACTGACGCACGAACGTGCCACCGATGCGGGCAGCCAGGGCACCTGCGCAGAGACTGCAAGAACTGCGACTCCTGTGGTAAGCCAGGGCACCGGCGGCGGGAATGCCCAACAGCTCCGAAGTGCGAAATCTGTGGGAAGGGAGGGCATGCAGCAAGGGAGTGTTATCAGCGGGAAGGAGCGGCGAAGAGGACACCAGAGGACCTGGAAAAGCAGATTGGCAGGCTGCAGGCTCAGCTGCAGGCAATGGGACCACGACGCGAGGCAGAAGCGGGGATGTACGCGGGGAAGGAAAAGGAAGAGGATGTAGAGCAAGATGAGGAGGCCGCTTTCATGAGCTGGGCAGGCAAAGCGAAGGATGAGGTGGAACACGAGGAGCAGCCAGCATACATGGCATGGAGAGGAAGGGAGGAGATGGGGCTACGCAGCGGAGGAAAGGATGCACGGAAGGACCAGGTAAGGAAGGAGCGAGAGAGAGGACAGAAACCGGAGGAGAAGGAAGAGAGGTGTACAGCGGCACGGCATCCACAGGAGCGGCTGGCGTGCCAGACTTCAGTGCTGCTGATACAAGGAGGTGCGCTGTCAGTGGAAGGGGAGAAGGCGAAGACGGCTATTATAGACACGGGCGCGCAGAGCGTGATACTAGGGAGGGGAATGGCAGAAAAACTGGGACTGTGGGCGCCGGACAGACATGTAGTGAAGGGAATGCTGGTGATGACAGCAGAGGGAGGAGAGTCAAAGTGGATGCCATGCACAAGGACTCCAATAGAACTGACGGTGCTCAAAGGAGAGAAGCACGAAACACCGGTGAGGATCAGGTGTGGGATCTCAGAATCTGAAGATTTCGACGTTTTGGTGGGCACGGAGATGATCTTTGCACTGGGCATGACCATCTGCTTTTGGAAGGAGACGGTAGAATTCAGAACCAGGTGGTGGAAGAAGGGTGAGCCACTGGGACAGCTGCCGGTGCAGTTCGTCAAGACAGAGCCAAAGCGGGCTTACAGGGCGGATCTGAAGGAGGGGGCAGCGAAGCAGGGGGCACAGGAGACCGCGAGGAACAAGGAACAGGGTGGACAGCCGAGGATGCACTTCATGGACGAGCCCAGCCAACAATCCGATTGGCAGCAACCTATCCGCCTGGTGGAACTCTTCGGGGGCATAGGGGCGGGTTTGGCAGCGGTGGTACGGAACGGGATAGCAGTGAAGCAGTGGATTTACGTAGAGAAGGCGGCAGAAGCAAGGAAAATGGCGGAGCATCATGCATGGCAGCTGCACAGCGAGTTCCCGGAGCTGTTGAAGGAAGAGGTGATCAGGGCAGCAATGAGCAGAGGAGTCAACGACGTCAGGGCCATCACAGAAGCTGAGGTGGCAAGCTGGGGGCACGTGGACCTGTTAGTGGCTGGGTGGGAGTGCCAAGGGGTATCATGGGCTGGGAAAGGCAAGGGTGAGCAAGACCTGCGAACACAGCTGATGGAAGACTTGTTCAGAGTGATGGAATGGCTGCAGGCTCAACAAGGCAGGGTGGCGTACCTGCTGGAGCATTTAGACATGGAAGGAGATGTGCGTGAGCCCATACGGCTGGTAAGGGAGCGAGTGACCAGACAGGTGGGAAAAGGGGTAAGCTGCGACGCAACACGGATGGGAGCCTACTCACACAGGCTCAGAATGTATTGGCAAAACGTGGTGCCAGCAGAAGACCTGCAGAGGGAGATAGAGGGGGTGAGAAGAGCAGGGGGGCGGAAGCTGAGCGATATACTCGAGCCTGGGCGAACACCAGCACCAGTAAGCAAGAGGAGCTACAGCCGACATTACCCTTGCAACACAGTGGGGCAAGAGAGGCAAGCACTGCCGACGCTCGTGTCATATGAAGGGGCAGCAGGGTACCAGATGGAGGGGAAGCAGCCAGGCCCAGGACTAGTGCTCGATCATAGGAAGGGAAGATGGGAAGAGCCCACGGCCCTGGAGAGGGAGCTGGCTATGGGGTACAAGGAGAACATCACAGCAGCCCCGGGCGTGACAGAGCAGGAAAGGAGGCGGGCGATGGGGAATGCAATGGATGGATACGTGATGAGGTGGTTGGTGCAGCGGATGTGGAGAGAAACGGTGCTGCACTGGGGACTGAAGGAGGGAGAAAATACAGAGGCAACGGTGAGACAAGGGGTGTGGACCTGCCTGCCAACAGCAGAGCCTGAGTGGAAGATAGGAGAGAGCATGAGCGAGGGAGGGAAGACAGCGATGCTGGCACTACTGGTCAAGCACAGGAAAGGCTTCGCTTTCACCCTGCAGGAGTTGGGGAAGTGCAAGATCAAGGAGATGGCATTGAAGCTGAACAGTGAAGAGCCGGTGTTCCATCGCAGAAGAAAGATGCCACCAGGGGATGAGGCGATCTGCAAGGAGAAAGTACAGGAGTTGCTGGAAGCAGGACTGATCAGAAGGTCAGAGTCAGAGTACGCAACCCCGACCGTGGTGGCAGCCAGGAAGGATTTGACAGGCGAGGTGCTGAGCCGCAGAATGTGCGGTGATTACAGAGATCTTAACAAGATCACCGTGCCGGATAGGTACCCCATGCCAATGGCGGAAGAACTCTTCGACAAGCTGGCCGACGGAGTATACTTCACGACGCTGGACCTGCGCCAGGGATTCAATCAGATAAAAATCAGAGAGGAAGATGTGAAGAAGACAGCCTTCCACGGACCGGACGGGCTGTATGAGTGGTTATACATGCCCTTCGGCCTGCGGAATGCCTCGGCAGTGTTTCAGAGAGTTATGGATGCGGTGCTGCGGGGGATTGAACATGCAGCATGCTACATTGATGATGTGGTCATCTTCAGCCAGACAGAGCAGCAGCACCTTGAGGACGTGGAGCGGACCCTGAGTGCAATAGAGGAGGCAGGGCTCACCTGTCATCCCAACAAGTGCAGGTGGGGGGAGCGGACAGTGCAGTACCTGGGGTATGAAGTGACAGGAGGACAGATCGGGATTCAGCAAGCAAAGGTGCAGGTGCTGGACAGGCTGAGGGAACCCAGGGACAAGACAGGGCTGCGCGCAGTCTTGGGCTTCCTCAGCTACTACAGGCGCTTCGTGCCTAACTTCAGTAAGCGGGCGGCAGTGCTGAACGGGATGCTGCGAGAGGACAAGGTATGGGAGTGGGGAGAACAGCAGAGGGAAGCACTGCAAGACCTCATGACAGCCGTGAAGACAGCAACCGTGCTGCGGCTGCCAGCAGCAGACCAGCCCTTCGTCCTCTACACTGATTGGAGCAGCCAGGGGATGGGGGCAATCCTGTGCCAGGAAGTGGAGGGAGTGGAAAAAGTGGTAGCCTACGCCAGCAGGAGCTGCAACCCCGCAGAGGCGCAGTATAGCTCATACATAGGGGAGGGGCTGGCGGCCGTGTGGGCGGTGGGGCATTTCAGGGTGTACCTGCAGGGCCGCGAGTTCACACTGGTCACTGACCATCAGCCCCTCACTTGGCTGATGACCACACCAGGGCTGACGGGAAGAAACGCAAGGTGGGCAGTGAAGCTGCAAGAATATGATTTCCAGATCAGGCATAGGCCGGGGAAGACGCTGCAGCACGTCGACGGTCTCTCTCGCAACCCACCACCGCTGGAATCAGGACAGAGTACACAGGGGACGGAAGGGACGGAGCTGGAGCCAGCACACACCTTGATCATGCTGGCGAGAGAAGCGGAAGAGGTCGGAGCCAAGGGGAGCAAGGGACCAGCCGACATCTGGCAGGACGAGAAGGCAATGCGGTGGGTGAAAGGAGAAACAGAGGAAGACGAGACAGTGTCAGAAAGAGTGCGGGCACGGGGGCACCACTACAGGTGGTATCAGCGGCAGCTGCAGATCAAGACAGAGGACGGGTGGAAGCTAGTGCCTGCACCCACGGACCGTGAAGCAGTGATCAAGGAGGTGCACACGAAGCTGGGACACTTCGGGCACGAGAGGACTGTACACCTGCTGAAGACAGGCTGGTGGTGGGAAGGGATGCGCAAGCAAGTGAAAGAGTGGGTGGAGGGGTGTGAGGCGTGTCAGAGGAGCAAGGCAAACTTAACGCAGGCCAAAGCAGAACTGCATTCACTGCCGATTTGCGGGTTGGGATTCCGATGGTCCTTGGACCTCGCGGGAGAGCTGCCGCTCAGCAGGAGCGGAAATCGGTACATCGTGTTCATGGTGGAGCATGCGAGCAAGTGGTTGGAGGTGAAAGCCATCCCCAGCAAGAGCGCGAGGCACATAGCAGCAGCCTTCAAGGCGCAGGTGGTGTGTCGCTTTGGAGCGTGCGGGGAGGTACTCACGGATCAGGGGACGGAGTTTCTGGGGGAATTTGAGAAGCTGCTGAAGGAATCCGGCATAGCGCACAGAAAAACCTCCCGCTACCACCCACAAAGCGACGGGCTGACCGAGCGAGCGGTGCAGACCTTCAAGCGGGGGCTGCGGGCCTATGGGGAGCAGAGGAAGAGGGACTGGGATGAGGAGCTGGATTGGATAGCCGCAGGGTACAGGTTCGGGAAGCAGGCAGCACTCAAGGACCACTCCCCGTACAGCCTCCTTTACGGAAGAGAGCCAATCCTGCCAGTGGAGGCACCACGGGTACTGACAGACACGGTGACAGCAGGCACGATCAAGAACTGGGTGGCCCTGTCCGAGGTGAGAGCGCGCTACATGCGCTACATGCTGCCAGCGGCACTGGAGAACCTGCACACTGCACAGCTGAGGGACGCAAGGAGGTACGAACAGAGGCAGCGCAAGGGAGAGGGGCGAGTGGCAAGAGGCGTCTGTGAAGGGCAGGAGGTGTACCTCAAGAGGGCAAAGCAAGACACCCTGGATGTGGGGCTGGGTACGGTCCGCTGGAAGGTCAAGGAGGTGCGCCCTTCAGGGGTGCTGGTCCTGGAGAATGACACGGGGGCGCAAGTGAAGGAGCATCAAACGAACACTGCCGTGATCAGAGGCAGCGGGCCTCAGCGCAACGGTCCTGTGACCCGCGCTCAAGCTGCGCGAGCACGGGCACAGGAGGGGGCAGAGAGTGGCTGAGGCAGCAGAAGGAACGAAGGAGAGGCAGAGCAGGAGAATCAAGGCAGAGAAGAGCATAGCGGTAACTCCGACATAACGAACTGCGTGCACAGTCACAATCTGTTATGCAGCCCAGCTTTTGGTATAGTCACTTTCCTGTAGTCACTATGAGTGCCATTTAGTAAATCGATGGCCCACCTATCTTGCTTGACTTTATTGACTTGATTGACTTGGCTGGTCTTACATTTCTGGTGACTTCGAAACCAGCATCCTTTCTCTCATCTCCCTTTCCCGTTTCCCTACCTACCCCTCCCCTTTTCCTAACACACACGCACACCCCACGCACACCCCACGCACACCCCACGCACACCCCACGCACACCCCACGCACACCCCACGCACACCCCATGCTTCGCTTTCTATGCCTTTCTCCCTCCCCCTTCGCCTCCACCAGACCGCTTCATCTCGCCTCCTCCTCTTCCCCTCGGGTCACCACTACGACTGCCTTGCTGCCACCACCCAGCACTCCTCCCCCCCTTTTCTCCCTTTCCTTTTTTCCGTTGACTATTCCCTACACCCCCCATCAGACCGCTTCATCTCGCCTCCTCCTCTTCCCCTCGGGTCACCGATATGACTGCCTTGCTGCCACCACCCACTCCTCCCTGCTTGGCAGCAGCAGCAGCTATGGGGGGGAAGCGGAGGGAGGGGCACAGGGGGAAGTGGTGTGGGGGAGCAGAGTGGGGAAGAAGATTCTGCAGGTGAGGAAAAAGAGGGGCTGGCGGCGGTGGGTACAGGGGCAGGGGAGGGACTGGGGGAGCAGAGTGGGGAAGGGAAGAAGATTCTGCAGGTGAGGGGATGTACAGGGAGGTTGGAGGGATACATGTCGTGTGTGATAAAGTCGATTTTTGAGTCGACTCAAAAACCGACTTGACACATTCTGCAGGTGAGGACGGAGAGGGGATGTACAGGGAGGTTGGAGGGAAACGTGTCGTGCACGTTGGAGGGGTTCCATTGTGATGTACTCAGTGGAATGCAAGGCACTGCTATCCATTGTGATGTACTCAGTGGAATGCAAGGCACTGCTATCCATTGTGATGTACTCAGTGGAATGCGAGGCACTGCTCTCCATTGTCTCCTTGTCTGCTCTGCATTCCACAGAACCTTCCCTTCCCCTGCCCCAGCCTTTGAGGTTTTCAATACCCTCATCAACTCGAGACTCCCGCCCTCTCTGCTCTTACTGATAACTCCCACCCCTTCTCTCCCCTTTTAAGTCGTCTGAAAAGTCTCACAGAACCCTCCCTTCTTGCGCCCCAGCCTTTGAACTTTTCAAAAACCTCATCTGCTCAGCTTTCCCTTCCTCTCTCCTCTTACTGATAACTCCCACCCCTTTTTCTCCCCCTCCCCCCCCCTCTTCCCTCTGCTTTCTCACTCCCCACAACCCCCAGCTCACGGCCTTTAACAGTGGTAACTGGGGCACACACCCCGCCCCGCCCTCTTCTCCCAGAAATAGCTCGGAAGATTCCTCTGAAGTTGACCAAGATGGGTGGGAGAGGCAGGGGCGGCAGGGGATGGGCCAGGAGCAGCAGCAGCAGCATCGGCCAGTCATGAGCTGCCACGTGGCAGCGCGGTCCATGCACCATTCTCACGTGCTCGCCCTGTCGTACGACAGTGATGGCTGCAGCAGCGGCAGCGATGGCGGTTGTGGGGGGGATTTGGAAGATCTCGGAGGGTTGAAGGCGAAGCGTCTGCTCTCTCTCGCATCGCCCACGCCTCTTGCACATGTGTGTGTGTGTGTGTCCGTCACTTTGCGTGTGATGAGTCAATTTTTTAGTCGACTCAAAAACAGATCTCGGAGGGTTGAAGGCAAAGCGTCTGCTCTCTCTCGCGTCGCCAACGCCTCTCGCACATGTGTGTGTGTGTGTGTCCGTCACTTTGCGTGTGATGAGTCAATTTTTGAGTCGACTCAAAAACAGATCTCAGAGGGTTGAAGGCGAAACGTCTGCTCTCTCTCGCATCGCCAACGCCTCTCGCACATGTGTGTGTGTGTGTGTGTGTGTGTGTGTGTGTGTGTGTGTGTGTGTGTGTGTGTGTGTGTGTGTGTGTGTGTGTGTGTGTGTGTGTGTGTGTGTGTGTGTGTGTGTGTGTGTGTGTGTGTGTGTGTGTGTGTGTGTGTGTGTGTGTGTGTGTGTGTGTGTGTGTGTGTGTGTGTGTGTGTGTGTGTGTGTGTGTGTGTGTGTGTGTGTGTGTGTGTGTGTGTGTGTGTGTGTGTGTGTGTGTGTGTGTGTGTGTGTGTGTGTGTGTGTGTGTGTGTGTGTGTGTGTGTGTGTGTGTGTGTGTGTGTGTGTGTGTGTGTGTGTGTGTGTGTGTGTGTGTGTGTGTGTGTGTGTGTGTGTGTGTGTGTGTGTGTGTGTGTGTGTGTGTGTGTGTGTGTGTGTGTGTGTGTGTGTGTGTGTGTGTGTGTGTGTGTGTGTGTGTGTGTGTGTGTGTGTGTGTGTGTGTGTGTGTGTGTGTGTGTGTGTGTGTGTGTGTGTGTGTGTGTGTGTGTGTGTGTGTGTGTGTGTGTGTGTGTGTGTGTGTGTGTGTGTGTGTGTGTGTGTGTGTGTGTGTGTGTGTGTGTGTGTGTGTGTGTGTGTGTGTGTGTGTGTGTGTGTGTGTGTGTGTGTGTGTGTGTGTGTGTGTGTGTGTGTGTGTGTGTGTGTGTGTGTGTGTGTGTGTGTGTGTGTGTGTGTGTGTGTGTGTGTGTGTCCGTCACTTTGCGTGTGACGAGTCGGTTTTTGAGTCGACTCAAAAACAGATCACGGAGGGTTGAAGGCGAAACCTCTGCTCTCTCTCGCATCGCCAACGCCTCTTGCACATGTGTGTGTGTGTGTCCGTCACTTTGAATGGAGCAAAGCAAACATATAGAGAATCTGTTTTTGAGGCGCCCAAAATACAAGCTGTTTTGAGTCGACTCAAAATAGAAAAGCTGTGTTTGAGGCTCCTAATAATCAAGCTGCTTTTTATGCGTCTCGGAAACAGCAAAGAAAACATCTAGGAAAGCTGACTGACACTTTCAGGTGATCTGTTGTCTCTCTGACAGTTCCTGTCAGTGCGGCTTTCAATCAGTTCGTTCCTTCGCGTCACGATCTATTGCGCCTTCCCCACCCCTTCTTTTCTTCTGCTTCGTATTTCCTCACTGGAAAAGGATGGAGAGTGAACTCTGTCACTGCTCCCCTCCATCCCTCTCTGCAACTCCCCTTTTCTTTTCCTTACCCACCATTCGCACTTTCTCTGCTTGCATTGAGGTCATTTTTTAGGCGCCTCAAAAACGATCCGCAACTCCGCTTTTCTTTTCCTTACTCACCATTCACACTTTCTCTGCTTCCTTCCATCCCTCTTCCCAACTTTCCCCTCGTATCCTAACAGCTAGCCTTCCGTCCCGCCTGCTCCTCCCCAGTCCCCACTCAACTCGCTCTCATCACCACCACCGGTCGACTGCAAGTCACTCACACTGCCCCTCTGCTCCTTTCTTCCCTTCCTGCCCTTCCCCGTGTATGCTAACAGGTTGCCTTCCGTCCCGCCTGCTCCTCCCCAGGCCCCACTCAACTCGCTCTCATCACCACCACTGGAAAATTGCAATTGGTCGACCTGCATCACCCCCCTCCCTCCCTCTCCTCCTCCTCCTATCCTTCCTCCTACTCCTCGCCTCTCTCCTCGTCCTCCCTCCTTGCTCGACCAATCCCCTTAGGGGCAGCTCCTGGCAGCAGGGAGTGTAGCTACAGTAAATTCTCGTTAAGATCAGGGAAAAGTAGTGTAGACGCAGGAGGAGGAGGAGGAGGGGGAGGGGGAAGAGGCTCTGCAGATTGGACCACGTCCATTGGTGGAGTTGCCTTGGGAGGTCCGGTGCGAGGCTGGGGCAGGTCCGGCTCGGCAGCAGGCTCAACGTTCCCGTCCGGCCTGACCACAGGCTCGGGGCTAGGCTCGGCGGAGGAAACAGAAGAGGCTCGGAAGAAGCGGTGGGAGGAGGAGGTGAGGTGGAGGGAAGCCGAGGGGCGGCTGGGGTGGGAGGGATGGTGGCAGTGCGAGTATATGGGAGAAGGGGAGCCTCATATACTGCTCACTGCCTGTTCGGACCAGATCGGAATGGTTGATCTTCGTATTGACATGAGTAAAAGCAGGCGTGGGGCGAGAGGAAGCGCAGGAGCAGGAGGAGCAGGAAGAGGAGGGGGGAGCGGGGTGGGGATGGGGCTGGTGTCGGCAGTGCAGATTCCGCAGCACTCGCTGCCGTCCTCCCTCTCCACACTCCCCTCCCATGCCCCCATCCTCCGCCAGTCCTTCTGTGCCCTTGCTACCACTGCCTCCTCCTCTCCTCCACCGTCGTTCTGCTCTTCCTCTCCTTTCTCCACATCCACATCAACAGCAACATCAGCGTTCGTGCCTACTGGTGGGCTGGATGGTCGCTGCTTTGCGGTGGCGTCTAGTCGCCTGGTCATGCTCTTCGACCTTCGCAACACAGTGGCGCCGCTGTTACAGGTAAGGTGCTTGCTGAAAGTGCTGTGTCCTGATTGTAGAGTCATATGCCGTGTGACAGTCGCTGCTTTGCGGTGGCGTCTAGTCGCCTGGTGATGCTCTTCTCTTTGACCTTCGCAACACTGTCGCGCCGCTGCTGCAAGTGAGTGAGAGCATGGTGCCATGCGTGCATCATAGGGTTACAGGATATGCGACAGTCTGGACAGTCGCTGCTTCGCAGTGGCTTCTAGTCGCCTGGTGATGCTCTTTGACCATCGCAACACAATAGCTCCGCTGCTGCAGGTGAGAGTGAGACCATGAGGTGAGACCGTGAGGTGAGACCATGAGGTGAGACCATGAGGTGAGACCGTGAGGTGAGACCATGAGGTGAGACCATGAGGTGAGACCGTAGAGCACAAGTGCTCATTTCTCTTGGCGACTTGTAAGAGTACTGCATGGCGACCATGAGGTGAGACCGTAGAGTACTGCATTCTTCTTTAGAAAACAAAAGGAAGACTGTCTACAATGGGGTTTTGGGTTTAGTGTTTGCGATTGAAGTGTTTTTTTATTATTATTATTATTCGTCTTTTTTCCTCTATTGAGAGCATCGTATGGAGGATGACCCGCCCCGCCTTTTGATTTGTTTCACTGGGATCCCTTTTATCACACTTATTCCCACCCATTCTTCTAAGTCTCTTTTTGTGGAATCCCCTTTATCTCACTCACTTCCCTTTATCCCACTTTTTCCCAACTATTCTTCTATTTCTCTTCCAGTGGGAGCATGGTATGGAGGATGACCCGCCCCGCCTGCTGCACTTCAACTACCTCGGAGCAGCTTATAAAGGGGACAGACGGTCCGGAGGAACAGCCAATCACAGGCGACGGAGCAGCAGTATTGGCGGATGCTCGTCAGAATCACTCCTGATACCGTCACAGCTGCTGCAGTCACACTCGAGAATGGCAATGGACGGACCTCCCACTCCCTTCGTGCCTCTTCACGACGGCAAGGGTGAGACAATTGATACCGAGTGATATTCACTACCCCTCCCAAGTGATATTCACTACCCCTCCCAAGTGATATTCACTACCCCTCCCAAGTGATATTCACTACCCCTCCCAAGTGATATTCACTACCCCTCCCAAGTGATATTCACTACCCCTCCCAAGTGATATTCACTACCCCTCCCAAGTGATATTCACTACCCCTCCCAAGTGATATTCACTACCCCTCCCAAGTGATATTCACTACCCCTCCCAAGTGATATTCACTACCCCTCCCAAGTGATATTCACTACCCCTCCCAAGTGATATTCGCTACCCCTCCCAAGTGATATTCACTACCCCTCCCAAGTGATATTCACTACCCCTCCCAAGTGATATTCACTACCCCTCCCAAGTGATATTCACTACCCCTCCCAAGTGATATTCACTACCCCTCCCAAGTGATATTCACTACCCCTCCCAAGTGATATTCGCTACCCCTCCCAAGTGATATTCACTACCCCTCCCAAGTGATATTCACTACCCCTCCCAAGTGATATTCACTACCCCTCCCAAGTGATATTCACTACCCCTCCCAAGTGATATTCGCTACCCCTCCCAAGTGATATTCACTACCCCTCCCAAGTGATATTCACTACCCCTCCCAAGTGATATTCACTACCCCTCCCAAGTGATATTCACTACCCCTCCCAAGTGATATTCGCTACCCCTCCCAAGTGATATTCACTACCCCTCCCAAGTGATATTCACTACCCCTCCCAAGTGATATTCACTACCCCTCCCAAGTGATATTCACTACCCCTCCCAAGTGATATTCACTACCCCTCCCAAGTGATATTCACTACCCCTCCCAAGTGATATTCACTACCCCTCCCAAGTGATATTCACTACCCCTCCCAAGTGATATTCACTACCCCTCCCAAGTGATATTCACTACCCCTCCCAAGTGATATTCACTACCCCTCCCAAGTGATATTCACTACCCCTCCCAAGTGATATTCACTACCCCTCCCAAGTGATATTCACTACCCCTCCCAAGTGATATTCACTACCCCTCCCAAGTGATATTCACTACCCCTCCCAAGTGATATTCACTACCCCTCCCAAGTGATATTCACTACCCCTCCCAAGTGATATTCACTACCCCTCCCAAGTGATATTCGCTACCCCTCCCAAGTGATATTCGCTACCCCTCCCAAGTGATATTCACTACCCCTCCCAAGTGATATTCACTACCCCTCCCAAGTGATATTCACTACCCCTCCCAAGTGATATTCACTACCCCTCCCAAGTGATATTCGCTACCCCTCCCAAGTGATATTCACTACCCCTCCCAAGTGATATTCACTACCCCTCCCAAGTGATATTCACTACCCCTCCCAAGTGATATTCACTACCCCTCCCAAGTGATATTCACTACCCCTCCCAAGTGATATTCACTACCCCTCCCAAGTGATATTCACTACCCCTCCCAAGTGATATTCGCTACCCCTCCCAAGTGATATTCACTACCCCTCCCAAGTGATATTCACTACCCCTCCCAAGTGATATTCACTACCCCTCCCAAGTGATATTCACTACCCCTCCCAAGTGATATTCACTACCCCTCCCAAGTGATATTCACTACCCCTCCCAAGTGATATTCGCTACCCCTCCCAAGTGATATTCACTACCCCTCCCAAGTGATATTCACTACCCCTCCCAAGTGATATTCACTACCCCTCCCAAGTGATATTCACTACCCCTCCCAAGTGATATTCACTACCCCTCCCAAGTGATATTCACTACCCCTCCCAAGTGATATTCACTACCCCTCCCAAGTGATATTCACTACCCCTCCCAAGTGATATTCGCTACCCCTCCCAAGTGATATTCACTACCCCTCCCAAGTGATATTCACTACCCCTCCCAAGTGATATTCACTACCCCTCCCAAGTGATATTCACTACCCCTCCCAAGTGATATTCGCTACCCCTCCCAAGTGATATTCACTACCCCTCCCAAGTGATATTCACTACCCCTCCCAAGTGATATTCGCTACCCCTCCCAAGTGATATTCACTACCCCTCCCAAGTGATATTCACTACCCCTCCCAAGTGATATTCACTACCCCTCCCAAGTGATATTCACTACCCCTCCCAAGTGATATTCACTACCCCTCCCAAGTGATATTCACTACCCCTCCCAAGTGATATTCGCTACCCCTCCCAAGTGATATTCACTACCCCTCCCAAGTGATATTCACTACCCCTCCCAAGTGATATTCACTACCCCTCCCAAGTGATATTCACTACCCCTCCCAAGTGATATTCACTACCCCTCCCAAGTGATATTCGCTACCCCTCCCAAGTGATATTCACTACCCCTCCCAAGTGATATTCACTACCCCTCCCAAGTGATATTCACTACCCCTCCCAAGTGATATTCACTACCCCTCCCAAGTGATATTCACTACCCCTCCCAAGTGATATTCACTACCCCTCCCAAGTGATATTCACTACCCCTCCCAAGTGATATTCACTACCCCTCCCAAGTGATATTCACTACCCCTCCCAAGTGATATTCACTACCCCTCCCAAGTGATATTCACTACCCCTCCCAAGTGATATTCGCTACCCCTCCCAAGTGATATTCACTACCCCTCCCAAGTGATATTCACTACCCCTCCCAAGTGATATTCACTACCCCTCCCAAGTGATATTCACTACCCCTCCCAAGTGATATTCACTACCCCTCCCAAGTGATATTCACTACCCCTCCCAAGTGATATTCGCTACCCCTCCCAAGTGATATTCACTACCCCTCCCAAGTGATATTCACTACCCCTCCCAAGTGATATTCACTACCCCTCCCAAGTGATATTCACTACCCCTCCCAAGTGATATTCACTACCCCTCCCAAGTGATATTCACTACCCCTCCCAAGTGATATTCACTACCCCTCCCAAGTGATATTCACTACCCCTCCCAAGTGATATTCGCTACCCCTCCCAAGTGATATTCACTACCCCTCCCAAGTGATATTCACTACCCCTCCCAAGTGATATTCACTACCCCTCCCAAGTGATATTCACTACCCCTCCCAAGTGATATTCGCTACCCCTCCCAAGTGATATTCACTACCCCTCCCAAGTGATATTCACTACCCCTCCCAAGTGATATTCACTACCCCTCCCAAGTGATATTCACTACCCCTCCCAAGTGATATTCACTACCCCTCCCAAGTGATATTCACTACCCCTCCCAAGTGATATTCGCTACCCCTCCCAAGTGATATTCACTACCCCTCCCAAGTGATATTCACTACCCCTCCCAAGTGATATTCACTACCCCTCCCAAGTGATATTCACTACCCCTCCCAAGTGATATTCACTACCCCTCCCAAGTGATATTCGCTACCCCTCCCAAGTGATATTCACTACCCCTCCCAAGTGATATTCACTACCCCTCCCAAGTGATATTCACTACCCCTCCCAAGTGATATTCACTACCCCTCCCAAGTGATATTCACTACCCCTCCCAAGTGATATTCACTACCCCTCCCAAGTGATATTCACTACCCCTCCCCTTGATCGTTCGCTTCACGCTCCCTTAAAAGCCAACAAGAACATCCCACTCCCTTCACGCCTCTTCATGACGGCAAGGGTGAGTCGCCCACTCTCGCTCCCATCCCGTCTCCATTCTCACTTTCATTCCCACTCCCATGAACATTCTTCCTGCCCAAATCTGCTCCCTGTATTCTTCTATATACTGACTCCACTCCACTCGCCAACCTCTCTAATGGCCCTTTCATTGATTGTCAAAAGTGGACAGACATGCAAGGTAAAGGCATCACCCTCCTCTCTTCCTCTTTCTCCCTTTTTTTGATCCCAGCACCCAAACCTGACGTCACCCTTCTCTCAGTCCCCCCTCTCTCTTTCTCCCTCCCTCCCTTCCTTCACAGCCCCCCCACCACGGATCACACTTACTGCAGCGGCCTTGGGTTCAGGCCGGATCATCACATGCCCTATTGCTCTCACCACTGCTCCTTCTCCTCCTCCTTCCACGAATGCTGCTGCTGCAACAAAAGCAACGGCAGCAGCAGATGCTGATGCTGAAGCAGCAGCAACAGCTAGAGCTGAAGCTGCTGCTGCCCGTCGGGCAATTAAACGTTTCCAGGCTGCCCAGCGGCGCACGCCGCACCTCTTCCGAGCCTTGTCTGGAGGTTTGGCAACCGTGGCTGCTGCTCCGTTCCCCTCTTGCGCTGGTGGTGTGGATGTGAGTGTATCGAAGGGTATGATGATTAAAGCAGCAGATAGAGAGGAGGGGGAGGAGGAGGAGGAGGAGGAGGAGGAGGAGGAGGAGGAGGAGGAGGAGGAGGAGGAGGAGGAGGAGGAGGAGGAGGAGGAGGAGGAGGAGGAGGAGGAGGAGGAGGAGGAGGGGAGGAGGAGAGGAGAAGGAGTGGGGAAGGGCAGAAGGAGAAACAAACAAAAAGGGTACAGCACTAAGAAGCACGCATCCTCATTACAAGCATCTTCACTATTACAACACCCTAGCGCACCCAGAGGTCCTCAATTCATATCCACACCGGCCCTCCTCCCTCTAGAAATCCCATCCCCCTTCGAGAGGAAGCGTCCCAGAAGCATCCTGCCGCGGTCCCTCGATCCTGTAGACGTGCTGCAGGCCTCTCAGCCAATCCCAGCTGTCCACGTGGCAGGCACTGCACTTGCTCCAATCGCTGGCCTTGCATGTATAAGCACGCTGCCGTGTGCTCATAACGAAGCTCGGCCCGACAGCCAATCAGGCGGTGGGAAAAAAACAGCAGGGAGATGGGCAGAGGAGGCTGGGAATAATGAGGGAAGATTTGATTTGATTCAGCTGACAAGGCTTGGAGATGTGTGGGCGGCATCATACGGCATGGAGTGGGAGGGGAGGAAAGGCAAGAGTAAACAGGGAGAAAAGGATGGAAGAAAGGAGGGCTTCTTACAAGAAAGGGAGGAAGAGGAGGAAGAGGAGGAAGAGGAGGATGAGGAGGATGAGGAGGATGAGGAAGAGGACAAGGACGAGGAGGAGGAGGGGGAAAAGGAGGACAATGAGAAGTTTGCAAGTTCTAAAGACAAGCGCAACAGGAGAAAGAGGAGGAGGGGGAGAGGGGAGAGTGGGGGTGAAGAAAAGAGGAGAAAGACAGGAGGAGGGAAGTTTCCTCTGGTGCAGGCAGCAGCACTTGCTGGGAGTGCGTGGGAGCAGCAGGCCGCACATGTGGTGAAGAGGAAGAGTGACAAGTTCGCCACTCCGAAATCATACACCATCCAGCTTCCAAACGTCGCGCACTGTGAGTCTGAGTCTAAAAAAGAGAGGCGAAGTGGAAAAGGAAGGGTGGGCGCTGTGCTGCTCGGAGATCATACTCCTTGGATCCAGTGGTTGGTAAGAGGGGTGCGGAGCGGAGGGATGAGGGAAGGCACGTGGCACGTGGCAGGTGGCAGGTGGTAGGTGGCAGGTGGTAGGTGGCAGGTGGTAGGTGGTAGGTGGTAGGTGGTAGGTGGTAGGTGGTAGGTGGTAGGTGGCAGGTGGTAGGTGGTAGGTGGTAGGTGGTAGGTGGTAGGTGGTAGGTGGCAGGTGGTAGGTGGTAGGTGGCAGGTGGTAGGTGGCAGGTGGTAGGTGGTAGGTGGTAGGTGGTAGGTGGTAGGTGGTAGGTGGTAGGTGGCAGGTGGTAGGTGGTAGGTGGTAGGTGGTAGGTGGTAGGTGGTAGGTGGTAGGTGGTAGGTGGTAGGTGGTAGGTGGTAGGTGGTAGGTGGTAGGTGGTAGGTGGTAGGTGGTAGGTGGCAGGTGGCAGGTGGTAGGTGGTAGGTGGTAGGTGGTAGGTGTATCAGTGTCTCACTCACCACTCGTCTTTCCATTCCCCCAACCCCTGCACCCTACTTTTGTGACATCCTCGCGTCTTGATGCAGATGTGCGCTCAGCTCTGGATGCAGTGGTTGGGAGTAGGAAGGGGGAGAAGGCGGAAGGACGGAGGCCTGGCATGTTTCACTCACCTGTCATGTCTGCGCCCCCATCCCCCCCTTCGTGATGTCTTTTCGTCTTGATGCAGATGTGCGCTCGGCTGTGGATCCAGTGGTTGGGAGTAGGAGGGGGGAGAAGGCGGAAGGAGAGGAGGAGGTGAGAGGAGGCCAGGCGAGAGAAAGGAGCACCGAGAGGGATGTTAGGGGGAATTCACAACGCAGGCGGAAAAAGCATCAGCAGCAGCAGCAGCAGCAGCAGCAGCAGGAGGAGGAGGAGGAGCAGGAACAGGAGAAGGAAGAAGGGCATTTGAATGTGTCACTGGCAAGAGTGGCAGAGATTTGCACAGGAGGAGATGGCACGACTGCATGGCCTCTGACATGGTGAGTTGGAGTGGAGTGGGATGAGGCGGAGTTGAGTGGAGTGGATGGGAGTGGGGTGTGGTGGAGAGGTATGAAGGGCTGTTGGATGTGTCGCTTGCGAGAGTTGCAGAGATTTGCACCGGAGGAGAGGGCACAACTGCATGGCCGCTGACGTGATAAGATGGAGTGGAGTGGGGTGGAATGGAGTGGAGGGGAGTGAAGTGGGGTGGAGTGAAGCGGTGTGGAGTGAAGTGGAATGGATGGGAGTGGGGTGAGTGGAGGGGAATGAAGGGCGGTTGGATGTGTCATTGGCGAGAGTCGTGGCCAGTCTTTGAAGTCGGTTTGAAACGACTCGTACCCCACTTCTTACCCGCCCGCCCATCCCCCCCTCTCTCCCCAAACCCAGTCACGAGATTGCGGAGGCAGCAGCAGACGCCCAGCCACCCCAGCCAATCGCCGAGCGCCACATGGCAGCACGGGGGCAGCGGGTGGACTCAGTACTGCAATCCCTGCGTCGCTTGGGGTTCCTGGGCGAGAGAAGCGCCTCTATTTCTTCTGCTGCTGCTGGTGCTACTGGTGCTGCTGGTGCTGCTGGCACTGCTGGCACTGGCGCTGGTGCTGATGCTAGTGGTGCCACTGCCAGCAGTCAGTGCGGCATGTCTTGTCAGAATCCGGACCTCTTCTCCCAGACCTTCCCGTTCGCGTCACAGCAGAGTTTCTCTCCTTTCTATCCACAGCAGCATATTCCCTCCCAAGCAACTCCCTTTGCCTCCCAAGCAACCCCCTTCTCCTCCCAGCCATACCACCAGTTTGCCTCCCATCCAGAACACCGCTTTGAATCGCAGCAAAGCTCCTTCCAACCGTTCAGCTCCTCTCAGAACCCCATCGGATCGCAGCAGTTCCTGTTTGACACGCAGGAGAGCATCGCGCCCTCTCACATGCTGCCACCTGGCAGCTTGCACGCGAATGCGACGCTGCCAAGTCAGCATGTGCAGCCGCAGCAGCTCATGCCAGGTCAGCATCGGGTGATCGTGCCATGTATGGGAGATGCAGCTGCAGCAGGAGTAGGTGGAGAAGGAACAGGAGTAGTAGGTGGGCCAGGAGGAGCAGATGAGAGAGCAGGGGCAAGGGCAGCCGCATCAGCAGCAGGGGCAGCGGGAGGAGCGGAAGGAGCGGCGAGTGAAACGGTGGCAGCTTTAACGGATCGGTCACTGTTCTTGGCGTCACTCCCTATCGGCCCCGCTTGGCCCGATGCTGTCATGCTGCCAGGGCAACAGAGGAGAGGAGGGAGAGGGAGTGAGGGTGCGAGTGGTTTGAAGGAGGAAACTGTTGGTCCGCATCGACAGCAGGCCGCGTGTCGCGTTGTGATTGGGCGGTGGGACGAGGCTATTCAGGAGTGGACAGCGGAGAAGGATAAAGAAGAGATTCCGACTCTGCAGTTTGACAAAGGTGAGACTTGAATCGGAAAGTGGTTAGGGAGAAAGCCAGGTCCGGCTGGGTTGTGCTTAATGCTGATTATTTTATGTTTACTAACAACTGTCTCTATGCGAGTATGCTTGTTTATTTTGAGTAAACTCAGTTTAATCTCCTTTTTGTGCATGGCAGATTTGCCTGAGGCTGACGAGATGGAGCAAGCAAGCATTGCAAGAATCATGGCTGCATGTAGAGAAGACAATTTTGGAATGTAGAAAATGTGCTTTATGGCTGAGTTCGCATCTACCACTTGTCTGGAAGTGCAGAAGTAAATTTACTCGAGTGTAGTAGATATCTGTACTTGGCTGTTTCGCGGGTGAATCGAGGTGGTTGGGTTGGGTTGGGGCGCATAGAGCTCGCCCCCCTGGTGACAGGCGCATCTGCCTCTACTCACGGGGATCTCCGGAGCTGGCTCCCCCTTCGTACCTAGGCCGCATTCTCATCTTCCGAATACTCGCGTGTCAGTTGCGATATCATCACGGTGCAGATATCAGAGCACATGGTGCGTTGCGTTGCATTGATAGCTCTGACGACTGAAACTGAAATGCGTTTGGTATGCGTTCTTGCTCTTCTGCGTTGGGTTGCAGGTCTGGATGTGAGGTGTGACCCTGCTGCTTTCCTGCTGGCGCCATTGCTGTTACTATTGCTGTTGCGCTCTTGTTCCCTCGCTTGCTTCTGCTGTTGCTGCTAATTTCTGCTGGAGCTCTTTCCCCTGCTGCTCTTCTTCAGCTAGTTTCTTCAGCACTTCATGTTCCCTCGTCCTACCCTTTCAACCGAACTCTTGTTCAATAGTTTTTTATTACACACCTTCGTTCTTTCCGCCCTGAACATTGCTTAGCAGAAGCGGTCTGTTCCTCCGTCATAGTTATTTATCTCCTCGGAAACGCTGTCCTAGGGCAGCCATGCACGAACACGAAGGCGGTACGCTCGCAAAAGGCACCTTGCCGAACGGCGACTTCCAGGGCAATGTGGACTCTTTCGAAGTAGAGCGGCTACGGTTACGAATAAAACAGCTGGAAGCCAGCCTGGCAGCCGCCCTAGCTGAGTCAGCAACCGCCAAAGCTGACCTGGCTTCCGTTAATGCCAAGCTGGCAGTCGTTCGGCGGGAAAAGGAGGTCGCGGTGCAGGCTGCGGACCGTCGGATTGAAACACTAAGAAGAGAATTAGCGGTTCTGGTAGACGAACGAGAAGAGGATGCGGAGATTATCGCTCAGGGGAAACGGAGCGTCGAGAGAGCAGAAGAATACCTCCGAGCTTTAGACGTCGCGAAAGTGGAGATTAAGAAGTTAAGACTGGAAAGAGATTTGCTGCAGGAGCGGATTCAGGCGTTGGAGCATGGAGGCGGCGCGGGAGGCGCTATGGCGACCGTGAACTGGCTCGTGCCGCCGTGCCTGATGAACGTGTCCGAGCCGCCGCGGTTTACGCCTGACACGCCTCGGTAGCTACCACATTACTGACTTAGGTGGCACCAGCAATACTCGTAGAGTCCGAGGGTGTCGTGGATGCGGCAGAGGCTGACTAAGTTGCGGAGGAAGCGGGGGTGGCTGATGTGGAATGTGGAAGGAAAGTAGTTGTTGAGGAAGGGGAAGTTGGCTCACTCGGAGGAAAGTCTATGAAGACAGACGTAAGCTGTTTCTACGCAAAGGATTGGTTTCTTTTTTCGTCCCCCAGTTTAGGCTGATTTAAGTCGTGGGTGTGTTTCACCGTGCCTGCTGCGGTAGTTGCGGTTCCTGATTCGTCTCACTCAACTGACTTTGGAGGTGAACTGATGAGTAGCTTGCTGGCTAACTCTACCTTCTCTGAAAGTGTCTTCAGCAGCCATGGCTCTTGGGAAGTTGGCTGACTTGGAGGGTTTGTGAGGACGGACAAAAGCTGTATTCTCGAGGCTGCCAGTCGTTGTGAGGCTGAAGCAGGTTGAATGGCAAATCGTTTGGGTAACCCCTGCCCCTTATCATTCTTGTTGGTGGCAGGGCTCTAATGGTAGATGTAAGTAAATTTATGGGGTTACGGTTTGTAAGGTAGCATTCTTCTGTACAGCATATGGCATGACAATGTAGCATATGTATGTTTACATAACCATCCCATTGTGCCAAGCCTAACGGTGATTGTAATGAACCCCGCCATTGTAGTATGCATGGTATCATTTCATTAGTTGGAAAGGTCCGTCCGTCCACAATTGACCTTTCAAGGCTACGGATGTTGTAAATGAATCCTTGTGGGATTTTTTTGGGTTTCGTGCTCGTCTAGTTGTAATGCTCAAACCAGAACGCTCAGTATCGAGTATCTCTGTTCATTTCCACTTCCCTCACTCGACTACGTGCCAGCAGCGCAAAAGCCACAGGCCACTTCCCCATCACGGCCCAGGCCGGGGGCCAGGGACTTGGCCCACCCACCTCCCCACCAACTCCAGCTGTGCCAACAACCCGCCACACGGATTGCCGCCAGCTCTGATTCGCCTCGCCATCAATTTACCACAGAAAGGAAACTTCAGGCATCAAGGGGGATTTTGAAGCATAGCACGACATACTGGACGCATCGACTCGACAGAACAGGTAGCAGCACTAGTCACTTACACCTTGTTGATACTCCGCCGTCAGTTATTTGAGATATTTTTATGAGCTTTCACGTGGATTCACGCTGTGGACGACGGGAGTTGCTTTGTGTGACGCTGTCGGAGCCCTAGCATAGTAACCATTTTCGCGGAACAATAACGTCTATTTTCATTTCGGTATCCAGCGTCGTCTTGTCACTCGTCGTCAATTCGACGGAGACGGATAGTATCGTTCCGAGCTCGTCGCCAGGTTGAAGTTTCAGGACTGGAATGACAACTACCATGGAAATGCAGTCAAAGCAACACGGTCTAGGAGCACCTTCAACTGACGCCTACGAGTCAGCTCCAGCGGAAGAGCCTGAAGAGGTGCGCATCCTGCGAGCGGAAGTGCAGCTGCTAAAAGGCGGACTGGCGCGCGCAAGAGAACGCGAAGCAGCCGCGCTGCACCAACTGCAAGAAGTCGCGGCCGCGGCGAACGCCAAGTTGGCAGCAGCCAATGCTGAGGTGGCGTCGGTGCGTGCTGAGCTGTCAGCGGCGAACGCCAGAGCGAATGCGGTGCGAAGGGAGAAAGACGCGGCGATGATGGCGGCAGATAGACGGATAGACGCTTTGCAACGGGAGCTTTCAGTGCTGATGGAAGAGAGGGAGGAGGCGGCAGAAGTGGCCGTGGCGGGACGGGAGAGTTTAGACAGAGCGGAGGAGTATCTTAAAGCATTGGATATAGCAAAAGTTGAGGTTAAGAAGCTTAGACTTGAAAGGGATATTTTGATGGAGAAGAATAGGTTGCTGGATGAGGAGAAGAATAAAAGGTCGGCGTCGTGGGTTATACCTAATTGTTTGTTGAAGTCTTGATATTTGATTACACGGCTGTTGGTGCCTCTTCAAATTTATACTGGCGCTGCCTCTTTGTGTGGCTCGAACGTGCCACCCCTACCAAGACTGCATCTGGGGGAGCCTCTCTAGAGTGGCCCTTGTGGACAAGGGTGGTGTTTGAACCATTAGGTACCGTGGTCCCTTTGTACTCAGAAAAACATTACCTGGAAAGCCATTGGGCCTCTAAAAGTGATGGGGTTGATTGAACCTATACATTCTAGTGTGTCCGATGCAAATGCTGATGCACGCTCTGCATCGAAGTGCCTTATGACGGGTACCGTAATAAACCTCCAATTGATGTCATCCCTTTCAATCGTACCAGACCCCACAGCAAATTTCTGTGACATTGGCAAGTGCTGTTCAGCTTACACGTCGAACGAATGGGAAAAGAGATCGCATACAAGGGTCTCTGAGCAGAAGTGACAGCAATGCGCTGCCGCTACGAACGGCACAAATAAACACATCCGCACCTCACGGCGATTAGAGTAGGCCTCGTTCGAGTCCGTGCGATCCGCAGTCGCACAGAGGCAGCTCGCATGAATTCGCACGCGAGAGGCCTTCCAGGCCGTCTGAGCGTCGCTTTGCGATCCGTGTCGCCATCGCGGGTTGCATGTTTCGGCGCACAAGTCGCACCCGTCGCTCGGTTAGATCATCACCGTCATCACCTCAGCCGCGTCCTGCTTGCCACGTCAGCCGGGTCTAATCTTTCTGGTCTTAGATCATCCTGGATTACCAGCAGCCATGGTTCCTCCTACTCCTCCTTCTCAACTTCCGCCTTCTCCTCCTCCCCCTTCTCCTCCTTTTCTCAACCTCACTTCATCTTCCACACGTCATTTCCCCAAAGATCGACGTCACAACTCGTACCTCGTTGTAGTCACATCCGCGGCTCCTCCACGGCCCAGTCACCTTCAACCAATCAAGAACAGCCACGTGTCCAGGACCCGTCAATTCTCACCCTGAATTCTGGTCAAAGCATCGCTTCCTCTCCCCCGCTCTCTGCTTATGTTCACATCCCGTTCTGTCGCCGCCGCTGTCACTATTGCGACTTCCCTATAGTCACAGTTGGGGCCAGGGACCCGTCTGTGCATGAACGGCTGATATTGAAGATGGAGAATTACGTGGGTCTGGTGATCAGGGAAATCGAAGCCAGTCATCCTCCTCCACCTCCTCACTCTCCTCCACCTCCTCACTCTCCTCCTCACTCTCCTCTTCGCACTATTCACTTCGGAGGAGGTACTCCCTCCCTCCTCCCGCCGGACCTCCTCTCCAGGCTCGTCGACACTCTTCGCCGAACCTACGGCCTTGCTCCGGACGCTGAGATCTGCTTGGAGGCCGACCCTGGCACGTTCGACGAGGCTCGGCTCCGAGCCTGGGTGGAAGGCTCGGGAGTGACGAGGCTGAGTGTGGGATGCCAGGCGTTTGACGAAGCCCTGCTGAAGGCGTGTGGGAGATCTCACTCTCTTGCTGACGTGTACGATGCTGTTGATGCGGTGAAGCGCGTGGGGCTGGAAAACTGGAGCTTGGATTTGATATCAGGGTGAGTGGGCAGCGCAAGTGAAGGAAGATGGGTGGATGACTATACTAGATGAACGCAAGTGGGAGGAGGATTCATATTCTCTCTTTTTTCTGGCTGACCTGTATGATGTTGTTGACCCCATGAAACGTTTGGGTTTGGAGAACTGGAGCTTGGATCTTATCTCGGGGTGAGTGCCTATGTTTCCCCCTAAGGAAGGGAGGATGCAACCATACTGATGCCATCATTGCCATGCACGATGCTTGCTAGAGGTGGGC